GGTGAGAAGTTGGCCCATCTGCGGGAACTGGTGGGGGAGCTGCAGCGGCGGAAGGTCGCCCTGGAAGGTGTGTCCAAGGACCTCCAGGCGAGGTACAAAGCCGTCCTCCAGGAGTACGGGCACGAGGAGCGCAGGGTCCAGGAGGAGCTGGCCCGCTCTCGGAAGTTCTTCACGGGCTCGCTGGCCGAGGCCGAGAAGAGCAACAGCCAAGCCGTGGAGGAGCAGAGCTACCTGCTCAACATCGCCGAGGTGCAGGCGGTGTCCCGCTGCGACTACTTCCTGGCCAAGATCAAGCAGGCAGATGTGGCGCTGCTGGAGGAGACGGCCGACGAGGAGGAGCCCGAGCTCACCGCCAGCCTGCCCCGCGAGCTCACCCTGCAGGATGTGGAGCTCCTCAAGGTCGGCCACGTGGGCCCCCTCCAAATCGGGCAGGTCGTGAAGAAGCCCCGGACAGTCAACATGGAAGATTCCTGGGCCATGGAGGCTGCGGCCTCTGTGGCCTCTGCCTCTGTTACATTTAGAGAGATGGACATGAGCCCGGAGGAGGCGGCTGCCAGCCCCAAGGCTTCGCCTGCTAAGCAGCGGGTTCCCGAGACAGCCACCAGCATCCAGCAGTGTCTCTTTCTCAAGAAGATGGGTGCCAAGGGCAGCACTCCGGGCATGTTCAACCTGCCAGTCAGCCTCTACGTGACCAGTCAGGGCGAGGTGCTGGTTGCTGACCGTGGCAACTACCGCATCCAAGTCTTCACGCGTAAAGGCTTCCTGAAGGAGATCCGCCGCAGCCCCAGTGGCATCGACAGCTTTGTGCTGAGCTTCCTTGGGGCTGATTTGCCCAACCTCACCCCTCTCTCAGTGGCCATGAACTGCCACGGGCTGATTGGTGTGACTGACAGCTACGACAACTCCCTCAAGGTGTACACCTTGGATGGTCACTGTGTGGCGTGTCACCGGAGCCAGCTGAGCAAGCCCTGGGGCATCACAGCCCTTCCCTCTGGCCAGTTCGTGGTGACCGATGTGGAAGGTGGAAAGCTCTGGTGCTTCACCGTTGACCGAGGAGCGGGGGTGGTCAAATACAGCTGCCTCTGCAGTGCCGTGCGCCCCAAGTTTGTCACCTGTGATGCCGAGGGCACCGTCTACTTCACCCAGGGCTTGGGCCTCAATTTGGAGAATCGGCAGAATGAGCACCACCTGGAGGGTGGCTTCTCCATCGGCTCTGTGGGCTCGGATGGGCAGCTGGGTCGCCAGATCAGCCACTTCTTCTCAGAGAACGAGGACTTCCGCTGCATCGCGGGCATGTGTGTGGATGCCCGTGGCGACCTCATCGTGGCTGACAGTAGTCGCAAGGAGATTCTCCACTTTCCCAAGGGTGGGGGCTACAGTGTCCTCATTCGAGAGGGGCTTACCTGTCCAGTGGGCATCGCCCTCACTCCTAAGGGACAGCTGCTGGTCTTGGACTGTTGGGATCATTGCATCAAGATTTACAGCTACCACCTGAGAAGATACTCCACCCCTTAGGGAATGAGAAATAGGAGTTTCTTCTGGACTCCAACCAACTTCCCCTCCCTTATTCCTTGGTTGTCAGCGGTACTGTAGAGTAGACCTGGCCTATGTCTCCATCCCAGCTGGCTAGTCCTAGAAATTTAGAAGCTCTTTCAGTTTTTTTATTTGTGTTATTTCCCCCCTAAATTTAGAGCTTTATCAGATGCATTTCCTCAAACAAGATCCATGAGGGGTCAGCTGAAGTCCAATGAGAACTTAGACACTTCCAAGGCTTCAGTATAGAGCTTCTGCCCTGTGTTTGAAGTTTGCCCTTGTGTTGAATGCACCCTTGTTGATTTTCCTCTCTTGGCTTTGAAGACTCTGGTCTGTTATTTCCCTCTTATTACAGTGTTTCATCTGTGACACCTTCTCTTCAGCTCTGCTGCCCTCAGTGGGGGTGCTCCAGTGGGATCTGCTCCGTCTTTCCGTGACAGTCGAGACATCATATCCTTGTGGCATGCTGTCCCAGGTCTGATCACCTTCACCAGTGCTACAGCTCATTCATTCAGTGCCACTGAGGGAGATACACAGTCCCTTTGGGAAGCAGTTCCTCTGGCCCTGCTCTGGCCCTCTGGGTGTTCTGTTCCATCTCTGATTGGTCTCTAATTGCAGATGTGACAGAATGGATTGACCCTAGTTGGTTGATGTTGAAGACTTTAGTCTGGAAGTTGCTTGCCTTTTAAAGGAGCATACGGATTGGAATTATGCCAAAGCACAGGAAGTTGGGAACAGCAAACATAAATGCTAATATTGTCACAGTAAACACTCTTGGATAGTCCCTAGAGCTCGTACCTTTTCATCCCACCTTTCTCCACGGACCTGTGCTGAGAGTTGTGTGTGGAATTGTACCTTATAACATAGGCCAACGCAACAAAGTGGGAACATGGACGCATCGCATTTCATTAGTGAAACAAAATTGTCGGGTCCTTCTTCTGTATTTTCCTCAAGTGAGTGTATAATACTGTGTTTCGGGGTTTATTTCCACTCTATCAAGCATTAAATAATTGATAACTGTTTCTTCGTCACTGGTGTTCGTCTTTTAATTAAGTATGGGATTTGCGAGGGGAGGAAATGTTACATTGTTTTGGTTTCATGCTGGTTTGCTTTCCTGTCTGACACTGCATTGTTTGTGAGCATTAAGGATCTACCCAGGTCAGAATTCACCGAAAATCTCTATTAGGTAAAGACAATCCCAGTTTTATTCCCACATACACGGTTCCTAACCAGCCCATCCTAAACGGAGCCTTCTGTCACCTGCTGTGTCCTTATAATTACAGTTCACAAAAGGAAGGCTCATGCTTTTAAGACCAGAAGTCGGTGAGGGGATTTGAGACAGTGTCCCTGAGGCTTGGCGTTTACTAAGTTACACATCTTGCTCTTTAGGTGCAGGGCTCATGGCAGGCCAGAGAGCTGTCAGCTTGCTTTCATGGAAACTGTGCCAAGCTGAGCTGCTCAAAATTGTATTTTTGGTGATGGCCTGTATTGTTTGTTTGTTGTTTTGTGGGGTCTTGTTTTTGTTTTTTGTTTATTTGGCTTCTGTTGGAATCCCTGCCAAAGGACAGGAAAGGAGATGAAATGATGTTGGACTAGTTTGTCTTGTGCTTTTCACCTGAAGAAAAGCCCCATGTTCTGATTATGAAATTGCATCCCATTTGCAAAGATTGTGTAGTTGAGAGGAAATTGATCCAATTAAAGGTGCATCACAAATGACTCCACTAGTTTCTCTAGCCACTTGATCTGTGCTGGTGGCCGACAGCAGGAGATCTGTCTGCTGTCAGTGGGGGACTTGCTGAGGCAATGACAGTGGCTGAGGCCTTCGGCACTTGGTTTTCAGCAGAGAAATGAATATTACGGGCTGGCTTGCTGTAAACTAGGCCCGGGATCCTCTAGCTTTTGGAAGGAAATGCTGTCACTGCTGGCATTCGGCATTTAGGTGTGCCCACCTTCGAACCAGCACTCATGCCTTTGCTCCAGTATGTCAGGTTTCTGCTGGCTCAGAATGGAAACAAGTGTGGTCTCAATGCTTTTCTTTCTTTGATGTGAGTATTTCAGGCTGTGCTTAGTACAATCAACTTTCAATTATCTACCATGTTGACTAAATTGCAGAGTATAACCCCAAGAAACTAACTTCCTCAACAGCAGTTTTTTCTGTTTTTTTAAGCAGCAGTACCCTTATTCAAGTAAAGTCTTAAGTGCAACTCTATATGTAAAATAGATCAGAGAGCAGCTGCTCTGGCGGAAGCAGGTTTGTGGGCCTGGGGAACAGGCTTTGGCAACCCTCGCCTAACCTGTGTGCTACTACAAAACTGTGAATCTACAGAGCATTTCCTGAAAACCACTGAACTACAGCATTGCTTACTTGCAGTTCCATCTCATTAGCCTTGTGGCCATGGACAAGTCATATAACCTTCCTCTTGTGGAAGATGATGGAAATGATTCCTGCCTCCAACAGGGTGTAAGATGTGAGATCACAGACATGAAAGTTCCAAGTACAGTGCCTGGCATACTCAATGAGTGATAGAAATTACTGTCTTCTTTTATCGAATTGTTCAAAAGAGTGGCATGAAGCTGCCTGACCACTCCAAACAATACCTTCCCTCTTTCCTATTTTACAGATTCCTACTGGGCAATCAGAACCTTTCTCAGGCACCTTCCCCAGCCACAAGTCTCCAAATAAATCTGATCACCAGTTCCTTTTTACAACAGCTCTGCCTATTTCCTGTTTCTAATACTGTATAAGTAACTGTGTTACTGGCCCGTATAGCTGAGCTTTATTGAGGGCTAACTTTAATATCTAGCTACAGGCACATGACATGGGTTCTAATTTAGAGTAAGTCCTCAGTTTTTAATTGGCTGTTACTTACTTGACTTGATGGTTATGGGTCCTCCAGGAACTTGAGTCTCTCTAACACAGCCCCCTTACATTGGATAAATACTCTCAGGCAAGCCCTTTTATAAAGTACATAAAAAAGCTAAAGGCAAGCCTGGCTGGTGTGGCTCAGTGCTTGAGCATCGACCTATGAACCAGGAGGTCACTGTTTGATTCCCTGTCAGGGCACATGCCCCGGTTTCAGGCTCAATCCCCAGTTGGGAACATGCAGGAGGCAGCTGATCAATGACCCATCATTGAGTTTTTCTCCCTCTCCCTTCTCTCAGAAATCACTAAAAACATTAAAAAAAACAAAAAAAACACACACTAAAGGCAAACAAGTGACATAGATTGGTCAAGGCCCTGCTTTCCTTTATCATTCTGAGTAATTATATAGAATTGAAGGTTTGGGAGCAATGAGTCATTCAGTGTTTACTGAGTACCTACTGTGAGCCAGGCACTGTGCCAAGTTTCAGAAAAGAATAATGATAAACGATGTTATCCATGTGTCTGCTTTCTCATAAATAATTCACAGTCTTTCCTGTCTGAAGTATGTGAAATCTTGTGTTCCATTGCCCTGGACTTCCCCAAAGGCCAGGTATAGGCAATGTCTGAAAGACTGTGAGGGCTGGGCCATACCAGTGTATACTCCTGCAGGGGTCACCCACTGAGGGTCGCTTCATTCCAGTCAGCTGGATAAATGGGGGCTGAAGTCTCCCAGTGTTCCTGTGAGTAAGGCGAGTAATGCTTAAATAGTGGTGCCTTTAATCTAGTGCTAATTAATGATTTCTGAAAATTGAAGTGGTACTCAGCTCTGTAGGAGGGAAGTGGAAGGCAGAGCCTAGGAGGAAACTCAGGGCTCTACCTTGCACCTGACCAGGCTGCTGGTTTGCACGCAGGACGTGCAGCCCCTCAAGGGATCGCCGGATAAATTACAGATCTGAAACGGGAGGTGCCTGGATGAATTTTACAAACATGGCAGTGATGAGGTAGGAGGCTATTTAGCAAAATACACACTTAAGACTCCAGACCTGTGGCTTCATTTGGTCAATATCATTAATATTCATGGTACCTTGGCTAAGTCTGAAGTTAATGAGGCAGCTCCAGGACTGACAATATGTTCTAGTGGGAAAGGCATTGGACTTGGTCTGGGTCTGAATCACAGCTCTGCCTCTTAACTGGCTGTGTTTCCTCAAGTGATCACCACACACCTGTATCAGTTTCTCTATAAAATAAGCAGGCTGGACTAGACTAGATCATCACGAAAATTCCTTCCGGCTCTATGATTTTAATTTCTTAATCAACTAGAATTATGATTGAGTTTTCCCCCAGTGTTTTTGCATAATTCTTGCTATAACTATCGCGTTTACATGAGAGTGGTAGAAAGACCTTGCCCTTCGTAATCAACCCCACCTTGGTCCACTTGCTTACTCTACCCCAATTAATGCAACCTTAGGTCAATCACTAGCTATTGTCACTCTATGGACCTACAGTTTCCTCACCTGGCGAAATGCAATGAGAGCTTACGTTTTAAAGATTTGTTGCAAGAATTAAAAGATAATGGGATGGTATATGTAAAAGTAATTCAGAAAATGTGACTTCCACTGTAGGGGGCAAAGGCTTCCTTCTCATGGTGAACTGATGTAGATTTTTTAAGCCATTATTTGCCCATGGACTCCTGGTGCAAGAAACTGCTCCCCTCAGCTCCACACTGTGTGCCATTCAAGTGTAGTTCCTGGCTGCACACTGGGCTGACCCTGAGCCTGTGACCCTCCACACCCAGCTGCTTATTAGGCCTCGGATCATGGGAGCAGCATCCTGAGCGCTCAGCACAGCCAATGAGGCCTCCTTGCTGCCGGAAAGAGCCAAACCTGGGCCCCGTGTCATATCCAGTCTGTAGAAGGGACTGCTCCCCCAGCCCCAGATGCCAGATGCCACAGTGCTGGAGAAGGCTGCCTTCTTTCGCAGGTCCTTTGGCTATCTGGGGAGTCCCTTCTGATCAAGTGAACAGCAAGGGGAGTTTATAGGCTTTAGAGATGGTGTCTCCACCATATGAGCTGGAAAGCTGCTGCTTTGAAGTCCTCAACTGGGATATTCCTAATCATGGGTGGGACCCAAGAGTCAGCACATCTGGGCAAACTCCGTGCCGCCTCATTGTGTTGGATGCCCTGGCCGACGGCCTTTCTGCACGTTTCTACAGACTCTTGGGCCATCGCCAGTGACCTGCTCATCTGGTCCAGTCAATGGCCGCAACCCTTCCCTGGTTGCTGCTTTGGGGTAAAGAACTCTGGGAATCGCTTGCCTCACAGATACCAAAAACATAACTCAAGATCACCCGCATCTCGACACAGTAAATCCACAATGAAAGGCTGCAAGAAGACACTCCTCATCCCTTTCAGAACTCAGACACTACTGGTAGTGACCAAAACATACAGCATTGGGCTCTTGCACAACTTAGGGGGATTTTCCACCACACTCCCTTCCCTTGGACTGCAGGCCTCAAAGAGCGGCATAATAGCTTACTTCAGCAAGTTCAAGTTCACTCACATGAGACTTGGTACCTCTCAGTGATTGAACATTCAGTGTGAACTATAATAGAGATTCCTGCTCCATTTAAAAAAAAAAAAAAAAAAAAATCTTTATTGATTTTAGAGAGAGAGGGAGAGGGGGAGAGAGACATCAATGATGCGAGAGTCATTGATCGGCTGCCTCCTACAGGCCCCTGACTGGGGATCGAGCCTGCCATCAGGACATGTGCCCTGGCTGGGAATCGAACCTCGATCTCCTGGATCCTAGGTTGATGCTCAACCCCTAAGCCACGCCCTGCCGGGCCCTGCTCCATTTTTGACATTTGACTTGCTGACAAGTTTCAAGCCTCACTACTCCCCTTCTTCAGCCCCACTCCTGGGCACACTGATAAGAAAGCCTAGGGCTCTCACCTTTGCAGTCCGAGAGGTTCAACCCTTGCAAGTGCCAACCAGCACGTGGAGTCCGCCCCCAAAACCTTCCCCCAGCCATTACGTAAGAACCAAGCCAGTCTCATCTCCCTGCTCTCTCAGGCCGTTCTTGGACACCTGCCCTCCCCAGAAAGCTTTGTTATGTGAGTGATACATCTTTTTATATCCTCTTGGTGTCTGTGTGGTATTATTAGTTTCATCATCTGACCACATGTTAGGTGGGAGCCCTTCTCACTACTTCAGTGACAACTGTTTAAACATCAAGAACAACTTCCTAATATGATAAATGAAAACTGTGTGAATTTAATTTCTGAGCAACCTCATGAATAAAATCCTGTTTTTATGAAATGGCATTTAATATTTACACTTAAAAATAATAATAAATCTCTCAGGCCCAAGGATCTGAAACGTGTTTGACAGATTTAGTGATTCTGTACAAGTGTTAGAAATAAAGTTAGATTAAAAATAGCATGGCTCAAAGGGTGGAGGAAGCATGTTTCCTCACCTGATCCAAGACTCAGGGGCTGGGGCTGGGAGAGTAAAACCTGTAGCGATTGACACCCTGGAGGAAAAGACACCTACAAATGGGCACATCTACCCTGGACCCTGCACAGAAGACTAAAGAATTGTTAAGTAAATGAGAGGGACACACAATAAAGCAAAACCCCTGAAAGTATGTGCTGTTCCCTTCTGACTATGGCCAGATACGCCTGCTTCTCTCAGTGAAATGGGGGCTGTTAATCCCAGCCCACTTAATGCGTTCAAGGTCTCATCGCCTCCCCAAAGCAATTCACACAAGTAAAAGCAGCCAGAAAGGAGCAGTACAGGCAGACTGACCTAATGCCTCTCTAAATAAAAAAGCAGAAACAATACTGGGTGTGGCAGGAGAAATAGCTCCCTAAGGAAATGAGTTGCAAAAGGAGAGCTTTGTATTTATGGTGGAAGATACTATCTCCTTCCTTGACTTCAATTATCTGCACAACTAGGTCCCAAACCTACAATTTTCAGGTCTTAGCTTTCTTTTGATCATATATATATACATATATTGCACACACATACACACACACACACATCTCCAACTGCCCACTTTATATTGCCAGGGGATGTGCAATTGTGAGCTAGTGCGTTACAGGAAGATATCCCTCAGAAAACTTACACTCGGCATATTCTAAACTGAACTCAGCTGATGGATTCGCGGGTTTGGATACCTGCTGTTCTGCTTTTGTTCCCCTTAAGGAACAGCAGCATGGGCTCAGGCACCTAAGCCAGAAACCTTGCCCCCATCTCTAGTCACTTCCCTCACCTCCCACCTCCCACCATTCATCATAAAGCTCGCATCAAACTAGCAACTTAATACTGTTCACGTGCATGTACCCTTTTCTTCACCCTCACAACTATTAAAATAGAAGCTGCTGTTTTTTCTACTGAAACATTCCTACAACTTCTTAACCGATCTTCCCAACCCTAATCGAGCCTCCTGTATACACTCCCTCCCTTTCCACATGGATCTCCTCCGTACACCAGCCAGAGTAGGATTCTAAGACGCAAATGCTAATAATATCACTTAAAACCTTTCAACGGCCTTAAACTGCGCCTAGTAAAAGGACTCGACCCTCAACAAGATCTGCACGTCAGTGGGATATGGTTCCTGGCTCACTATCTTTCTAGGTTTATCTCCTGTCCGCTGCCTCCCTCTCTGGCAATCTGCTCAATCCACTCCCCCCACTCCCCATCCCCACCCCTTATTTTAGAACCTCTATTGTACATGCTTTCCTTGCTGCCGGAATCACTTTCCCTCTCTCTAGCTACCCATGTCTACTAAATCCCACCTCCCCCAGGTTTTCTGGGGTGCCCTTCCTGATCCACTACACAGCGCGAGTCAGGTGGCCTTGTCACATTTTGGGTTTCCTCCTTCTGGCATTTACACACTGCACCGTGACTTCCTCGCTACCCATCTGTCTCCAAGACTAGGCTGAGCTCTGTGAAGGCCTAGTGACATTTAATTGACTGTTACATCTACAGCACCTAGCCCGGTACCCGACACAGAGCAGGCACTATCGCTGTCGCTGGGTAAAGCCAGCGCAGGGGGTCAGCCCCGCTCCTCTGCTGACACAGATGAACGCTTTGGGTTGCAGGTAGTGCCAGCTGGCCAAGCCACCTCCTGCTCCTCTCGCCAGCTGCCTCCCTGATCACTGACCGAGGCTGTGCCACAAAACGGGATGTGGTTGGAAGCTGGGAGGGGTGCTTCCCTCAGACTGCATTTTCCTTAGAGAAGCTTCCCTCATGGAAACTCAGACTTCACCTTGGTGCAAAGTCACCACTGCAAGACAAGGCTCAAAAAGACACCTCTGATTGTACGATATGTAAATTTTATCCCAATAAAACTAACAAAAAGAGGTACCTTTGGACACATGGTCTCCTGAATGACCCCTCAACACACTTTCTTGGACGAGGGAGGGACGAGAGGAAGCTAATTTGAGACCTAACGCTTTCACTATCAAAGTTCCCCTTGAGCAAGCTGCGCGTTCCCCCTGGGGCTCTCTTTCACCATCTATATTAACAGATTTAATAGTGTTATTAAATTAAGGATCTTTCCTGTTGCAAATTTCAATGATTCTGGTGTCCCAGCCCTCAGGGACGTCTTGGACCAAGATCTCCAAAAGGAGCCTTCCATCGCCCTGGGCACCTGTGGAATGGGAGAAAACAAAAGTACAGACCCCCAGGACTCTCAGGAGGAACCCTGTGGTCTAGGACGGGGTCAGATGAAGACAATCAGGCCAGCACTCGCCCAACGGGTCAATGGCCACGTCTGTCCCTAAGGCCTGGCTCAGAGCCTGCACCCGGCCCACAGCCCAGGTGTTGCCAGGAAACCAGGCTCTGGAGCCAGCTGGCCGGCATCGCGCTGGCCCGGATCCCGCTGACCTGCCTGCGTCTTTTCTCCCTCTTCCTGCCCAAGGGCCCCTCATCATCTCAGGGGAAAGAGAGATGCCTCTCAGGACTCTTAGGAGGCCGGCTGTGGTTAAGTAACAGCCACTGTAGCTGGAGAGAGGACTGGAGGAAGAGAAGATGGTCGAAAGAGAAGGCAAGAGGGACCGTCATTTGCCAGCTGAGCCTGAGTGACACAGCCTACCCCAGCCCGAGTCTCAGTTCCCAGGCCCGACGACACCGGCCTTAGAGGGCTGTTGTGAGGATCGAATGAGAGCCCGTGCGAGACGCGCCCAGGGTCCCTCCTGGCTCGTGGTGGCTCCCAGCGCGCAGCGTGTTGTTACAGGGAGACAGGAGCGCATGTGGGCTTCGGAGCCCGACGGTCCCGGGGTAGAATCCCGCCCCGGCCTGTGACCAGCCATGTGGCCTTGAGCAGATGAGTGTTTCACCTTTGGGAGATGCTCATAATTCTCTCCACCTCACAGCGTTGCTGTGCAGACAGCTGGGCTCCTGTGGTTAATTGGCCCATTGTAGGAACGCAATCCAAGTCAGTCATTGTTGCCTGCTCCTGTCACCCTCCCTCAACACACACACACACACACACCCCTAAATATTCTTCTTTTTTTTAAAAAAAAGTATATTTATTGATTTCAGAGAGATGGGAAGGGAAAGGGAGAAAGAGAGATAGAAACATCAATGATGAGAGTCATTGATCGGCTGCCTCCTGCATGCCCCCTGCTGGGGATCGAGCCCGAAACCTGGGCATGTGCCCTGACCCGGAATGAAACCCATGACCTCCTCATTCATGGGTCGATGCTCAACCGCTGAGCCACACCGGCCGGGCCCTACACATTCTCCATGAGCACAACAAGCTTGGTATTCAGCCGTGCAGACATGCTCCCCTGTCCCCCACTATTGGACTTTCTGATAACTTTGACTTCTACTCCCACCTCCAGGTTCAGGCAGGACTCAAATTCACAAGCTGGCGGACTGGCTGGAGAGCAAGAGCCAAGGTTTTAGAAGGTCTGAAAGGAAGGGGGTTTATATCTTAGCCTGCTGTACTCAGGACTGGCCAGAGCTACACCATTATACTTTCTGTTTAGGAAAACTAATAATAATAATCATCATCACTGACTTAAATGTGTTTTATAACAATAACTGATAATAATAGTAAGTAGCATTTCCTGAGCATTGCTTATATGCCAGAGGCCGTGATAATCACTTTAGAAATACTATTTCATTCAGTCCACAGGCTCTAACTGCTGAGCCAAACCATCTAGGGCTCATTAATTCTCATAACAAGACTTCGAGGCAAGCAATATTATACCCATTTAACAATGAACAAATTGAGGCCCAGTTAACCAGAAGTCACACACTCGGCAGATGGGACAGGTGACACAGGCACAGCTTGATTTGTAGGTTGTTACATGCTGAAAGGTGGGCCTTTGGTAAGGAGCAGGTGACAAAGACTGATTTGTGTTGATTCCTACTATTGTTTGTCTTGAGCTCCTTCTATCCATTAATCACAGGACCTGCTGTCATCTTCATAACCTTCGTGAAAGTGCTCTGTGAGTGCACTGCGCCAAGCACATGGGAAGGGTTATTATTCTTGGGATGCACCAATGGGAAAAAGACAAGGGTGTTCCGTTCCAGATGGACTCAGTCTTAACCAGAGAACAAATGCTTTTTTTGATAATTTCATCTGGTAGGAAAGGCAGTCTCGCGGGCCTATTTGTGTGTAATGAACCACATCCTGTATCGTCTTTTTGCAAAGTTCCGAGGAGAAATACATTGGCTCTCTCCTCTGGCGTGCTACAGGCTCGAGAATGTCCGGCTCCTATTTAACCTCTGGTACCCCTGCCTCTCAGAGAAAAAACAGGGCCTCAGAGCTCTATTGATCCAACAAGCAGTTGCACAGGAGCCAAGGCGGGAGGGGGGAGGCAGTATTCAGCCCTCCTCCTGGCACACTGGGACCCTGGCATAGATGAATGCAGCCAGGCTGAGATCTCTGACCCACGTTATAGTTAAGGGGTGTGAGGCTCAGTGTGACCGAAAGGCAAAGAGTGTGGGCCAGGTGGGGCTGGAGAGGTTGGCTGGGGACACATCAGGTCTGAGAGAACCATGGGGAGGAGTTTGGAAATCAGCCTCAGGGCAATGAGAAGGCACCCAGGAGTGTTCCTCCAAGGAGTGGCATGATGAAACACGCCATCATGTTTTAGAAACAGCCCATGACAGTTATTTTTACATGTGACCTCGACTGGATGTCCAGATTATTGGTCAAGCATTAGACTGGATGTATCTGTGAGGTTATCAGGGAAGGTGTTCTGGATGAGATAATCAGTAGATTGAATAAAGCAGATTGCTATCCCTAATGTGGGTGGGCCTCATNAGTGAACTTGACTGGATGTCCAGATATTGGTCAAGCATTAGACTGGATGTATCTGTGAGGTTATCAGGGAAGGTGTTCTGGATGAGATAATCAGTAGATTGAATAAAGCAGATTGCTATCCCTAATGTGGGTGGGCCTCATCAAATCAGTTGAAGGCCTAAATAGAACAAAAAGGTTGACCTCCTGTGAACAAGAAGGAACTCCTTCTGCCTGACTCTTTGAAGCTGGGACACTGGTCTTTTCTTTCCTTTAGACTCAAACTAAAACATTGGTTCTTGGGTCTCAAGCCTGCCAGCTATGGAACTGGCTCTCTTAGATTTCCAGTTTGCTGAGCCGATCTTGGCTTGGAACTACTCAGCCTCCATAATCACACAAGACAATTCCTCATAACAAATATCTATCTCTCTTTCTCTCTCCATATATAAATGAAATCAAATATATATATATTTCATACATAAATCATATATAATATATAAATATATCATACATACCCTATACATTAATATTATACATAATAAAGAGACTTTTTACCTATCATCTATCTATCCATCCATCTATCTATTTGCCTACCTACTTATCTATTCTTTGCTTCTGTGTCCCTGGAGAACCCTGGCCGACCCATGTCCTCAGGGCTGTTGCATGGTTTGGGTTGATGAGAGACAAGAGTGGATGCAGGGAGACCAGTAGGAGGCCCACACTGGAGTCCAGGAAAGACATGAAGTCAGCTTGGGACAGGGTGGCAGCTTTAGGTGGAAAGAAGTGGACAAATTCCAGAGATTTTGGGGAATTAAAATGGAAAAGACTTGGGATGGCTCTTCACGAGAACACCTGGGAAGGAGTAGTAGTGTGGGGCAGAGTTTGGGCAGCAGGGGAGCTACTGTGACAGCAAATATCAGAGGAGAGCTTGGAGGCGGAGGTGGAAAGTGGGAGTCCTCGGCGGAGGGGTGACAACAGAGAGCACGGCTGAGATTCCCCACAGAGAGCATGCAGTCCGGGGAGAGGCGCCTGCAGGGTGGGGCCTGCGAAGCCACGGCGACTGGTCGGGCAGAGGGGGATGCAGCTGCCAAGGAGCGGACAGGGTGGGGCGGAGGGCGGTGGGCAGTCAGGAAGATCTGGTACCGTGGAGCGCACACATAAAGGGCCTCGAGCTGGAAGTGGCCAACTCCATCAAATGCTAATGAAAGGTCAAGCCAATGGGATTTGAAAACTGCCCCTGGACAACTAGATCACCGGGGAAAGAAACCAGTACCCTTGCAGGTCTCAGCTCTGGAACCAGCTCCTTTCATGTCTGGTGGCCGCTTTTGAAGCAAGGTCCCCCAGGAGGCTGGGTGCCCGGGAGAGTTCTCCAGTTCACAGCAGGCCCTGGCCACACCTGTCTTCACAAAAGGAGGTGACATTTGACTACATCGTTCCCTCCCCCCTTCTCCTCTCCCCACCCCAACCCCTGGGCTGCCTTTCAGACAGCCAAAGTTCCTCTACAGCGGAGTCTAGAAATGTTTCAGCTGACATTCAAAAGTGCACTGTAATTCAAATGGAAATGCAGAAATCCATTCCCTGGGCAGTCTTGGGAAATTATAAGAGAGAGAAAATATATTTTAAAGGTGGCAACAGGCACGCATCTGAGTGGATATCTCTATCCTATGGACTCTCCCAATCTAAACTCAAGAGCAGTGCGACCTTCACCTGGAGAATGTCCTTTCACCCAGTCACTGAGTCCCTAAACTTGAAAAGGACATGTTAATTGCATACATTCTCTCTTCTACACAATCTCTCCATTTCCTTTTGTGAATTTCCCTGCATTTGTCTCTTTGTTTTCCTGGGTCTTCCTATTTTCCTCAGTCAATCTCTCAGTCTCTCTCTCTCTCACACACACAGACCCCCTCCCCCAGAATAAACAATCCCTTCACATACACAGATCCTTCACCTTCCATAGTCACTTTCTTCATGAAAAAGGAATGCAACTAAAAATTCAGGAAACCTTTCAGACTGGTCATTTCTGCATCCATCACTGACCACCCAGAATAGAGGGTGACAGAGGATGAGGAAAGTGCAGGCCACAGAGCCCTTCTGAGATGTCCCCAGCAACAGTCCACAACTACCTCCCTCTCCTGGCTCCAGCCCTACAGCTGAACTCACCTAGGCCCCTCTCAACGCCAGGTCAATCTGCCCCTGTCCTTGGTCCTGAGTCAAGTGACAAGGGATGGGAGTAAATTAGCAGCCGTAAAACATCCCCTGCTCCCATACACACGTGTGCACACACATGCATGCACATGCGTGCGTGCACACACACACACACACACACACATACACACACACTTNATAAAACATCCCCTGCTCCCATACACACGTGTGCACACACACGCATGCACATGCGTGCACACACACACGGGCACATGGTTACCTGAGTGGATGTGGCAACTATTGGTGGAACAAATGGGTTGAATCAAGATAATAATTAGGTGCCCTGCTCAGTGCTAGAGGAGCCCATCCTTGATCTGTCTATTTGCTCATTGAATCCGATATTTTACAGGTGGGGAAATTGATCTTAGTGAATCAGTTTGCCCAAGACCACAGGGCTTCTAAGAGGTAGAGCTGGGATTTGAACCAGGATCCATCTGACTGCAGAACCNATTTGCTCATTGAATCCGGTATTTTACAGGTGGGGAAATTGATCTTAGTGAATCAGTTTGCCCAAGACCACAGGGCTTCTAAGAGGTAGAGCTGGGATTTGAACCAGGATCCATCTGACTGCAGAACCTTGTGCTTTATCTCCAAATGAGGAAGTCTATGCAAGGTAGCCAGATGCAGGCTCACTTTATACACAGAGTCTTAATCATTAACTACCGCTCATGTGTCAAGATCACAGGTAGGGAGAGCATGTGATCACCAAGTCAGAGAGTGAACTGAAGCCCTGATTGGGTGAAAGGTAACTTTTCAAAATACAGGTATATCCAGAGCACAGAAGCAAGTAGTGAAAGTACTGAGCTGGGGCAGGAGACTCAAAGCTTCACGTGGTGCTGGGGACACATGCCCTGGGACCAGAGCGAACAGTGATAGGAACCTGAAGGCTGACAGCTTCCATGCTCATCTGGTTGCCTTGTAGGGCCCAGCTGTTCCTGGCATCTGCCAGATGCCATCTGATTGACATGCCCAGTGCTCTAAGCCCCTCCAGACTAGTAGAATGCCCACCCAGGATACTGGCTGGCAGTGAAAGCCCCACCCCCCTGCCAGGATCTTCCGAGTCCTTCTGCCCAGGCCCCTCTGGAATCAGTCAGAAGCTGGGCCTGGTGCAGCTTTCATTTTGCCCCGTTATGGGGAAAACAATACATAGGGTATGGACCGCTGCTCCCACTTTCTGTAGCTAGAGCAGACATTGCGAGTTAATCACAGCGTTTTCAGTGACCCCAGCTACCTCCATGCAGTGGTCTAGACAAACCACCCCAACTGATCAGAAATGGCACATGAATCGAAAGCTAGGATCCACCACGTGATAGTGACTGGGTTCCCTCCCACGGGCCAGGCCCTCCCTCGTTCTCACTGTGCATCAGGGGATTAAAAGGAGTCTGTGACAAAAATGATGAAATGTTGGGAGGTAAGACAGGCTGGAATGGGGACAGCGCACACGTCTTGTCCATTACGGTGCCCCAGCACCTGGCGCAAGGTCTGCGAGAGGAAGCACGTGGGACACAGCCGTGAACTAGAGGCTCAGTGAATGATAAACTGTCAAGCGCTGGACGAGGCCTGTGGTTGTCACCCAGGCCCTGCTTGGCCTCTTCTCCCACCGCCTCTTCTACCTGGGAGCCCGCCCTCTCCGAGAGAAGGGAAACTTGCAGGATTGTCCTTGCTCCTGACGTAGAGGCTGCTCAGGGAAGACTGAGAGCTGCCGCCAGGACCAGAAGCCTCAGCGGGTGCCCACAGTTTTTGCTTTATTTTAAGCCACTGCTGCTCGTGTGCCCACTGTGCCAGGCGTCTTACCTACCTTATCTCACTTCATTCTCCCAAAAGCCATGCGAGGGAATCGCTCCTTTAACAGGAGGAAGCGGAAACGGAGAAGTTCCTTCCCCCTTGGATAGCTGGCAGGGATTTTAGAAGAGCCACCGGGATGGAAAATCCTGTCTGTCCCACGTCAACCCTGCTCCTCTGCCCGGCCTCTTCCCACAAGCTCTGCCCCCAGAGCGATGGGCTGCACACCCAGATTCACCCGACCTGGCTCCCGGGACCCCCCTAATTGCATTTAGCGCATGTCAGTGGCGCACACTCGGCGGCTGGGGAGAGGAGGGTCACCGACGATATCTGAGTCCAGAGGTCCCTCAGTTCTCCGGGGGAACGTTCCCCGCGTCTCATCCCCCCACTCCCAGCATCACTCTCAAGTTAAAAACAAAATCAAGCCACGGTACCCGATGTGCCATCTAAGTGGCCCCAGNGCTGCTCCCACTTTCTGTAGCTAGAGCAGACATTGCGAGTTAATCACAGCGTTTTCAGTGACCCCAGCTACCTCCATGCAGTGGTCTAGACAAACCACCCCAACTGATCAGAAATGGCACATGAATCGAAAGCTAGGATCCACCACGTGATAGTGACTGGGTTCCCTCCCACGGGCCAGGCCCTCCCTCGTTCTCACTGTGCATCAGGGGATTAAAAGGAGTCTGTGACAAAAATGATGAAATGTTGGGAGGTAAGACAGGCTGGAATGGGGACAGCGCACACGTCTTGTCCATTACGGTGCCCCAGCACCTGGCGCAAGGTCTGCGAGAGGAAGCACGTGGGACACAGCCGTGAACTAGAGGCTCAGTGAATGATAAACTGTCAAGCGCTGGACGAGGCCTATGGTTGTCACCCAGGCCCTGCTTGGCCTCTTCTCCCACCGCCTCTTCTACCTGGGAGCCCGCCCTCTCCGAGAGAAGGGAAACTTGCAGGATTGTCCTTGCTCCTGACGTAGAGGCTGCTCAGGGAAGACTGAGAGCTGCCGCCAGGACCAGAAGCCTCAGCGGGTGCCCACAGTTTTTGCTTTATTTTAAGCCACTGCTGCTCGTGTGCCCACTGTGCCAGGCGTCTTACCTACCTTATCTCACTTCATTCTCCCAAAAGCCATGCGAGGGAATCGCTCCTTTAACAGGAGGAAGCGGAAACGGAGAAGTTCCTTCCCCCTTGGATAGCTGGCAGGGATTTTAGAAGAGCCACCGGGATGGAAAATCCTGTCTGTCCCACGTCAACCCTGCTCCTCTGCCCGGCCTCTTCCCACAAGCTCTGCCCCCAGAGCGATGGGCTGCACACCCAGATTCACCCGACCTGGCTCCCGGGACCCCCCTAATTGCATTTAGCGCATGTCAGTGGCGCACACTCGGCGGCTGGGGAGAGGAGGGTCACCGACGATATCTGAGTCCAGAGGTCCCTCAGTTCTCCGGGGGAACGTTCCCCGCGTCTCATCCCCCCACTCCCAGCATCACTCTCAAGTTAAAAACAAAATCAAGCCACGGTACCCGATGTGCCATCTAAGTGGCCCCAGCAGGTGATAGAGCAAGAAATACACCCAGAGCGGTGCGGCTGGCCTCGGCGCATCCGTGTGCCCGTCTTGGGGGTGAGCAGGGATGACGGCCTTAGGGGAAGCGCCCTTGCCCTGGGGGCCCAGAGAGAAGAGCTCGGGCGCCAAGTTCATCCAGCAAGCTCGCGGCGCCTCGGAGGCTCCGCGTCCTGAAGGGGCCTGGGCTGCGGCACTCTCTCTGCCTCCTTCCCCATCTTACTTGTGCCAGACGCCACGCATCCTCTGTACAGAAAGCCTGAGATTTCCTGGGGTGAACGAAACTGCGGCCACGAAGGGAGACGGGCCGGGATTTAGCATGAGCGCGGTGCCCCGGCCCCGAATGCAGGACGAGGCAAATTAGTTCAGTGGCCACGGTGAGCGAAGGTTTTTATAAACATAACCTAATTGCATTACCTCGAAGTCCTGAAGCTTATTGCCCTGCTTAATGATGTGTCACATTATTTATAGGGTGGCACGACCAGACTTCTATTGATTTAATGCACTTCCTTAAAGACCGTCATTGTCACAGCCATAAAACAGCTATTCCCAGGCAACTCAATTATGTCCCCTGTGCCTATAAACCACCCTCGCCCCTCGCAGCTGCACGCGGGAGGCAGGGGGTGAGAGCACGCAGCGGGTGGGGGCGGGCGGGAAGGGTCTGGAGGTGTCAGATGCAGGTGGACCGGGCTCCTCCAGTTGGGGTGAGAGGCAGTGTAAGAGGCGGGGGGCAGGCAGTGTGTGCCCCGCTCTGTCCTGGCCCTGCTTGGCGGGGTGGAGCCGTGTGACTCTGAGCAAGCTACCTCCTGCCTCTGGGCCTTAGGTTTCCCAACGATGACACTGGAGTGCTGCCCCCCGGCAAGGTCCCCCCGGCTCCGCATTCTGCGGTTTTATGAGTTCTGGTTGAGCCACAGGAAGAAGATGCAGGCACGATTTTAACATCACTCCCCACCCTTTCCGTCCATCCAGAGCCTTTCTTTTTAAATTAATTGATAACAATAGTAACAGTGATGACAGGAAGCAATCCTCACCTTATTACTTATTAAGTAATTATTACTGTGGGCACTTGACCTAGCATTTCTGTGACTCATTTTCTCATCTGTGAAATGGGGGGATGAATACATGGGCCTAATAAAATACATAATGCATGCATGAGACATTTCTATCTTTCTCAAAATGTTGTTATAAACACCACTTCCCCTTAATGTGGGAGCTAGACAAGAATAGCTGTCTATGTACCCATCTCACAGGAAGGGAAAACTGAGGCAGGAAGGGAATGACTTTCCCAAGGTCAGTGACAGAGGCTGGTCTCCATCTGGTTTGGGAAATTCTAGTTATGATAATAGCTGGGACTCCAAGGGAAATAAGATCTGGTGACCCCCATAAGATTAAAAGTCCTTCCTTGGGAAACTGTCCCCTCAGACATGCGGTGATCTCTCCCAGAGGAGCTGGAGCTCTTCTTGGCTTCCTCCAAGAAGCCTGGAGAGAAGAAGATGCCCCCTCCCCATTGCCCTGCCCGAGACAGTTGTTTCAAGCAGAGAGAGAGAGAAACAGGAGCCTGCAGTAGTCAGTTCTGGAGTCCAGAATACCACCCGGGTCTCAGAAAATGCTGGCTAAGAAGCTGAGAAATCATCACCCGGCCCCTCATTCTCATTCTGCCCAGGGTGGAACAGAAGCCCAGAGAGAGGCAGGGACTTGCCTAAGGCCACACAGCTTATACAGAGCAGAGCTAGGATTTAGCTCCCAGGGAGCTCAGTCATCTCCCCAGCAGCCTTCCCTTCACACCCCAGCTGGCCGCCACCTCCAGCGAGCGCTCCAGGCTTACCTTTCTGGTACTGGAGCCACAGCTGCTGCTGGACCTTCTTGCTGGGGAAGTGGATGATGCAGGTGAGCTCGGAGCCGTAGAGGGCCTCTGCGATGTAGTGGGAGCCGTAGTGCTGGATGAAGGTCAGCAGCTCCTCCCGACTGCTCTCCTTGGTCAGGATCTTGAGGACGTTGGTGAAGCCTGGACAGAGGGGGAGCATGAGAAGAGGGGGTCAGACTCTGGAGGCTGGTGGCTGGCAAATCATAAGAGGCAGGGGGGCTCTTTCCAGGGTCAGCCTAATGGCTGCACCAGTCCAGACGTGAACAGCATCCCCTCACTGGCACGGCAAAGATTGCTCTCTCCGGTGGACATGCGAGACACTGACCAAGAGGGGACTGATCACAGAGGAAGGCCAAAGCTTGGTGATCTTGATCACAGGGACCTGAAAGCCACAATCAGGAAATCAAAGCTGACGTTTACTGAGCAACTAATGCGCATCCGGCACACCGCTTGATTGAATGCACTTACCACGCGCTTTGCTTGATTTAACCTCGGTGTCAGCTCTGCAGCCCCACCACAGCAACCCATAGTGTAGATGAGCAAGTCAAAGCTCAGAGGCCGTAAATGAACCTGCCATGGTCCAAGGCCATCAACCATGAGCCACCTGCATCGGGCTTTACCTCCAGCTAAGTCAGCGATTGGATTACTCCTGAATATGACATAGGATTTCTACCATCCTTTCTTCATTTCTACCCGTCATCTCACCTCCAACACATACACACCACCCCCACCCCCACCCCCCACCTAAAATAGCCTCCCTACGTCCTGCCGAAGCCCCACCTGTGCTTCTAGTCACCCCTCTCCTAGGAAACCTTTCGCACCATCCTGGCAGGGTACTGAGTCTCTGCACCTTCCACATGCTCCACCTTGAAAACAGAAGCTCTGGCCCACTGGTCTCTGAGCCTGCACACGCGTCCTCCCCACCCCACCCCGGCCAGGTACCTGGCACAGGCACGGCAGGCACACCCATCCCCGTGGTCACAAGGACAACCAACCCCAGGCCGCATCAAAGTAAACTGTAAACGAGCAGGCTCTTTTTCAACGTTACACATGAGCTCCAATCTGCCGACATTTGATTTACAAGGGGGTTCTCCGGAGCATCGTTATTGATTAATTAACTCAGATGCACCTCTGTAGTTCTAATAGGAACAGTGCAGTTTATTCAAAAGTGCGACACGAGGGTGCGGGTGGCGGGGAACAGAACAGGACTCGGAGAATGGGCGCTTGATGAGAGCAGCCTCTCTCTGTCAGCCTGTTAGCTCCTGCAGCCGGGTAATTAATAGACCAGTGTTCACGAGGAGATGGTGGCTGTTAAGGAATAATGACATCGCAGAGATGCCCTGTGGCGCTTCGTCCAGGCGGACGAAACTGCCATCAAATCCCTGCTCTGCTCCTGGTCTGCCACTCACTAGCTGTGTGATGTTGGGCAAATTACCTAACCTCTCTGACCCCCCGTTTCCTTCTCTGAAAAACAATGGAATAAAAATGCCTTCCTTGCAAGACTGATAGGAGTCCTAAGACAGAAAATGTTATAAAGTTCGGGCCAGTGTCAGCAATAATTATTGTTTGCACTTCTCAGAGGAAGTCCTCCGATTCCCAGGCCACCCGAGTGACATGTTGCTCATGAAGACAGTGACAATGAGGAAGGCAATTTAGGGCAGGAGCTGATGGGTGATGAGGCGACGCTGGGACAAGAACCCAGGGGCAGTGCTGTGAGTGAGGGCCAGCGGAGAAAAACCTTGGTCAGGCCTCATAGTTCCGAAGTCCTTCACTCGTTCCTTGTTTTTCAGTTTTCGTTTGTATATATTTTATTCCTTCATCAAACATGAGCCCCAGCCATGTGCTGATTCTGTTACAGAGAAGACAGGAAGGGAGGACCCGAGCCCCACCCGCAGGCTGGGATCTGTGCATGAGGCGGGGCTCAGAGAGGAAACGAGCACTTGCCGGTGCTTTAGCTCAGGGAGCTGCCCGCAGGAAATTTCCTGAGTTACTCTGAGGGGAATGGAGAGTGTGGGAGGTGTCTCGGGGGATCGCAGGCAGGGCTCCCCGGGCAAGGACATCCAGAGAGAGGGAACAGCATGTGCAAAGTCACAGAGGCATCAAAGAACATGTCCCATCTGTAGAACTACAAATGATCACCGTCAGCTCAGGGTGAGTGTGGGCCACGCGTGTGTGTGTGTGTGCTGGGAGGGGGTATGTGTTATTGTTGTATACAAGATGAGCAGGAAAAGAAATCAGCCAGGAGGGAAGACCAGAGGAATCAGCTCCTGAGAACTTACAACCCACAAACTTGAACTATGTCAAGAGCATAAACGGGACATAGGCGGTCATTTCCCCCCTCCCTCCGTTCATGCTTCCACACCCTGCGCAGACACGCCTTCCTCCAGGAAGCCTCTCTGACTTCTCCGAATGGCTGTCGCACGATTGGGTTGGCCCTACTGCAGGGCGTAGATGCCACCGTCCATCGGCCTGTCCGTCTGCTCTCCCTGGGAGCTCCCGGACGGCAGCCTCCCGGTGCTAGCACAGGGCCTGGCGTGCCCTAGGTCCTTGGGAACACGTGCCGAATGACGCCCGGTGCCCCGGCGCCCGGGGGTGGTCCTCACCTGCCGAGAGGGTGATGGTGCTGAGCTTCACGCGGTACAGGTTGCTCCGGACCCGCCACTGCTGCACCATGGGGTAGCCCATGGCCTCGTCATACCGGACGTCCCCTGCGGGAGGGAAAAGAAGGCCCGGTGAGCCTGGCATCTGGAGGCCTCGAGTCGCCACCCCTCTGCCTTGCACCCCTGGGCTCCAGGTGACGGCCACCTCTTTGAAGCACCCACGGGCTGGGCCTTGGAGTACAGGCTCTCGCCGGGGCTGACAACAATTGAGGTCCGGACCCCAATTCCAGACCCCTCCCTGGCCTCGGATTTCAGCCCCAACCGCCTTTAATCTCTGTCTGACAGCTTGTGAGGTCCTTTAAACACCAGAGCAGCTTTATGGTCCCATCTGACCCTGTTGGCACCTTGCCATGGGAAGCCAGACATCTCAGTGCCTCAGTTTCCCCGTCTGATACTGCTGCTCCCCACGATGACCCCATTCCACAGGCACATTGTGAGACTCAAGCGAGGGAGTGAGAAATGCTGTAAGGACGGGCCAGGGTCGCTAAGGACAGCCGTTCACCACGTATCGGCAGGTGGCTGCTTTCTCAGGATGGCCGCCGAGCGGAGCGGCTGCGACAGAGGCCACGTGGAAAGCCGAGCACAGCCACCGTCTGACACTCCGTGTTTCCTGACCGCGTGGAGACCACCGTTTCCCAGCATGGAAACACCAGATGGCCACAGGTATCGTCAAAACATACGCATGTAAAAGGTTCCCATTTCAAGTAAGGCTGAGAAACACCGGCTAAGCAGAGCGAAACGCTTTGTTTAAAAAAGCTGCCGTTTCTCGGTCCTTTAAATAGATTAACACGCAGGTAAAAGCTCCGTGGAGGCAGTGCCGGCATTTTGCAAACTTCTTTGACCCCTTAACTCTTTTTCTACAGAGAATCCACTGGAACTCACATTCCATAGAATGCATTTTGGGGAAACAAAAGTACAGGCAAAAACAAAAAAACAAACAAAAAACCCCCACAACAAAATGTTAGCAAGTAGGTGGTGGGTGTATAAACGATTCTTATTTCCTGATTTATATTCATCCCCATTTTCTAAATTTCCGGCTCTGAGCGTTCCAAACTCTCTTTTGTATAATCAGAGGAGAAATGCATGAAGAAGGCTGGTCACATCGGCAGTTATTACTATTGTTGTTATGAACCCTCTGCAAACGGCAGGCGCATTTTCCAGCCTCTCCCTTTGCCCCCTGGTGCGGAGGCGCTTAAAGAGAGATTTGATGCTGAGATTAAAACGAGAATCTCCTTGGAACCAGTGACTTCTTCCTGGACATTACTGTGGTATTAAAGTTGTCCATTACTGTCGACTTGTTGTTTCCCTCCTTAGCCTTTTCAAAAACAATATAATTATTTTAGAGGCTTTCATTTTAAAGTAAAATATTCATGATCCCCAAAGATATGTCCACTGGAGCGAGGTTGTTTTGTTATAAATATGTCCCGTTTATCTGCTCTGCCAGTCGCCCTCTCCTTCCTCTGCAGAGGCCAGGGACAGGGGGACAGCGGGTGGGGAAAGGGGGGGAAGGCGGTGTTTCGACTCAGGGCAAAGAGGACAGTGTGCCCAGGAAAACCAGACGCCAGAGCCCAGGCAGCCTCTGCCCATATATTCACGCGCGTCCTAGTTCAGACCAAGCTTGGAGGGGTGTCGGTAAGTGGGGCCCATCTCCAGGGGAGGGGGCAGACATGTGAACACAGGCTGTTGATGCAGCTCATCCACTGGGTGGTGTGATGTCCAAAAGGAAAAAAAAAATACTACTTCTTCTGGTTATCAAGTCTTAGCCCATGCCTGGGCCTCCCTGGTAAGCGGTCGTCACTCCACCCCTCACTTCCCCTCACCCCCTGGTCTTTCTGGAGTCCAACGTGGAATAACGCTCCGCCTGTGGGATGTCAGCTCCTTGAGGTTGACACCGTGGTCTGTATTTTCCCACTTCTGCAGAGCCTAGAACAGAGCCTGACGCACAGCAGGCTCTCAATAAGTAACGATTTGCTGGCTCGCTTACATTCATAAACCCATCCCCGGTTCTTCCTCCATCTCTGAGCCCATCTTACGTGACTCTATCCTCGATCCCCATTTTACACCCAGAGATTGGGGGTAGAATGAAGCTCTGGAATGGGGGAAGGTATTTTTTTCCTGGTAATTAAAAAAAATTAACTCTTGAAAGGTAGCAATTTCTTTATTAGGACACTTCCAAAGACCCCACAAATCAAAACAAATCATCCTGAAAATTCATGCCACTCATGTGAACCGCAATGTACCAAGCATTTCACATCCATGATCTCAAATTCTCACCACAATCCTGAAAAATAATTGTTATACCCCATTTTTGAGAAGGAGAAACTGGGGCTCAGAGAGGGAAACTGCCCAAGGACACACACCAATCATAGATCCAGGACTTTTCCATTAGGGGACAGCACCCCTCCACCCCATGGACCATGGCAATGTGGTTTTAACAGGTGGCGAACTCCCCATCACTGGGGATATGCAAGAGGGATCATCACTCAGCAGGAACAGGGAAGACCTGATTTCCTCATCAGTAAGGAGTAGGCTGGAAGCCCTTTGCAGCCCATGTCAGCTCTGAAATTCCATAATCTTATGAAATGTGAAAATGAAGGATGGCACAGCGGTTTTTAGACATATTTTACCAAGTATTTTTACATCTGTGATTTCTTGTGATCTACATCTGGGCTCCTCCTTGAAGTGGGACAGGTCAGGGAGGTGATGTGGCACAGTGGACACAGCACCCGCTTTGAAATCAAGTCCAGCTGTGCTTAAATCCTGACAGGGCTTTAGACTAGCCACGTGGCCTCGGACGAGTTAAATGACTTCTTCAACCGGTTTAAAAGGAGACAATAACACCCTTACAGGGCGGCACAGATTAACGCTGCACAGCGCCCGGCCCCCAGGAGGCTCAGCACATGCGGGTTCTCCCCCGCCTGGGATCAGACAACCGTACGAGGTTTCCGAGGGCTCGGAAGTGATGAGGGGAATGAGACCTACATCTGTCTCGTTTCAGGGCCCTCCCTGGGGGACAATTTCCCTCTCAGCGAGATGGCTCAATCATCCCTCACTGACCGTGCCCTCTCCCTGGGCCGTGGTGGAGATAGCCAACGACTGGATCAAAAAGGCAGAGCCAGGGCCCTTCCACCTTAGGAAAGTCCCCAAGAAAAGGGTAGGGGAGGAACTGGGGAGAGACTGTGAGGAGCAGAAAGGCACCGTGGGAGGGACAGAGATACGGAGCCTCGGGAGAGGCTGCTAAAGGCTGCTTCTCAACAAGGGAGAGAGAGCTGCAGAGTGGTGTGAATGGGCAGACGGTGCAGAGCCCCCGCACCTGGCCGTGTCCTCGAAGGTGTGCTGTGTGGCCTCGGGCTGCCCCCTTCCCCCCCTGAGTCTCGATTCCTCCTCTATAAAGGGGAAAATTCAGCACCAATGTTCAAAAACAAGTTGGGCAACTGAAGTACTTTCAAGTGGAAGAGGCTCTAGTTGGGGGGGGGGGTTCCACTGTCTTTACTTTAGAATGATTTAAAAATGCACCTCATGAATTAAGCCAGAACCAGACAAAGACTACACGATCTCACTTAAATGCAGAATCTAAAAGAACCGAACTCGTAAAAAGCAGACAGTAGAATGGTCCGGGGTGGGGAAAATGGGGAGATGTTAGTGTGTGCGAAGGTTACGCAGGATGGATGAGTTCTGGGGATCTATATTAGGCATGGTGACTACAGTTAATGATATTCTAGCATATACTTGAAATTTGCTAAGACAGTAGGTCTTAGAGTCCCGGCTCAGAGTCCCGGGTCTCAGGCAAGCCCCTAGTTCTGCACAGGACATAGTAGGAGCCCAAGAAACGGCCTGTCCCTCTCACCCCCGCCCCTCACTAGGGGAAGGCCTGGTGGGGCCTGTCCTGGAGGTGCTGAGGGCTGACACGCACCTGGAGGCCAGGTGTGTGGTCCGGGAGGCTGGGGAGGGGGCCGCACGTGTCTTACCAGTGAGCAGCTGGAGGTCCGGGAGGGGCTCGGAGAGGACGCCCCGGCACTGCTCCTCCACCGGCAGCGGGATCACCAGCAGCCCGTCGGCCAGCTGAGGGAAGTCCTTGATGAAGTTGTTTTCTCTGTGGAGAGGAGCAGAGAGACTGCCAGGTCGAGGCGTGGGGGCTGCTGGGGCCGCGGGGCAGGGAGGCAGGGAGCCTGGGAGCCTGGGTCCGAACGGAGACTGGCGGGTGGTGGGCGGCTCTGCTGTGCTACCGCTGGCTCCCTGAATCCCAGCTCTGGGAACATGGTGCTGACGACAGGCTCAGAATCCAGCAGGCTGGGGCTCAAATCCCGGCCCACACTTACCAGCTGTGTCATCCTGAGAAAGCTACTGGTCCTCTTAGCACCTCAGTTTCCTTTTCTATAAAGTGAGTCCTCAGGGTAGTTATAAACACTTAATGGGCCAAAGCTGCCAATTGCTTAGGACAGTCTGGTGCTGTACAGACTACATTTGGCTGCTAAACGTCCCCTTGCATAAGCAATGACAATGGTGGACCAGGCTGTGAGGGAACTGGGAAGAGCATGGGGTACTTGAAGATAAAGGGGGTGAGGTTAAGCTGGAGGAAGGAAGGCTTGAACGAGTGTAGAAGGACCCTAGGAGATCTTTTGGATCAAACTCCTCCTTTTAGAGATGGGGAAACCAAGGCCTGGAGAAAGGCAGTGCCTTGCTCAGCAACAACCAATGGTTTATACTCAAACCCAGGTCTCTCGACCCCCAGGCTAGTAATCCTCCTGCCTTAACTTCTTCAGACGCTTCTATCCCTTACCTGTAGGACGGGATGCAGAAGGCAGACCTCTGGATGACCTCAGTTTACTGAACCCCAAACAGAGGTAGTCTCAAGGGGGGGTCAGTGATAGTGCGTCACGGGAGGCAGGCTTTACTCTTTTAGACAACAGACCTGCCTAAAAACAGAGCACCTGCCAAGAGAGGTGGTGAGCTTCCTGTCTCTGGGAGTACACAAGCAGGGAACTTGGTAGCCACTTGGCATGGATGGCATCAAGGGCATTTCTGAATTAAAATCTGACTTGGGAGATCCTCGGAGTTAGAGACGCTGATTATAATCTGGAGAGGGGGAGAGTGAGGAGGGGAGGAGGAAAGGGAAGGGCAGGGCCAGGGTGCTTATCACTTCATTCGCAACCTTAAATGAGAATCAGAGAGAGGAAAACAGAAATCTGTGAGCCAAAGCCATGCCTTTGAAGCCTGGGTCTCCCACCGTCCAAAAGCAACTGCGCAAGCTGTCTGTCTGTCCTCCAGGTCCCTGCACACCTGCCCCAGGCACCTGCGAAGCTCACCATCAACCCACTTATTCAGTGAACATCTTCTCCGTGTCTGACCCCTGAGCCCAAAGGAGGAGACACTGGCCCCATCTCAGCATCACCAGCACCTTCATCATCACCATTATCACTGTCATTTCTGACAACGTCTTTATTGAATTGTCATTTGCTAGGATCCGGCTAAGCACTTTACACCCATTTTACCATTTACTCTTTACCTGCAAGATAGTATCTTCATTTTATGGGTGAGAGTAAGAGGTTCAGAGGTCAGAAGCAGCAGAGATGGGACTGGAGCCCAGGTCAGGCTGACTGCACACCTGGTGAGGCGAGGGCTGGGCCTGGCACTGTCTGCCGGGCATGCCTGTGCATGGCGGTGGGTTTCTAGGTACGCACGTGTATATTTAAGTATACCTTTTTGTGTGCCCATGTGGGTGTGCCCTGTGACCACAGATCTGCCTAGGTGTGTATGTGTGTTGCTGGCCTTTGATTTTCCTGCCAACCTGGGTTCTAGTTTCAAATCTTCCCCGTGGTGGTTTTTATAATGGTACAAGAGGGGAGACAGAGCCATCCTCTCCACCCCTATGTCCCTCTCCTCCAATCCCCTGCCAGGCTTCACCCTGTGGGCAAATCCAGCCACAAAGGGCCAATGGGAGGCGGCGCAGTGGGCAACCTCAGCATGGCTGGGGGCCTGGCTCGGGACACCCCTTCTTAGAGGAAGGTTTTCCCTGAGCTCCCAGGAACCAGGGAGGGTCTCGAGGAAGCACTGCAGAAAGAGGGAGAAGACGGAAGGTGGGAGCTTGCAGGCCACTGTGCAAGGCTGGGACGGAGGCAAGGACCAAGCAGAGGGACAAGACAGCAACAGCAAAGACCAAGGATGGTCCCCGAGGCCCCGGCCCCTTAGTGCCACCTGCGCGAGGCAGTCCTGTGAGGCCTCGGCCAGCAGAGGGCGCCCAGGGCCTTCGCATCAATCAGCTCTCTCTGGAGGCAAAACCTGATGGGACCTTGGCCTGGAGGGAGAGCTCCTCTGGGATGAGAGAGGCAGGGCGGGGGAGCCGGGACAGCAGTTTCAGATCCACCCACCTGGGCAGAAAGGGGGCAGCGAGGCAGGCAGGGTGCTGGCAGAAACTCAGGCAGAAGCTGGTCAGATTCTCAGAGCTTGTGAGTGTGCGTGTGTGTGTGTGTGTGTGTGCGTGTGTGTGTGTGCATGTGTGTGTAAGTGGATACTGTGTTTCAAACAGCAATGGGGCCACTGTTCCTTTAGATAAACATTTCTCCAAATTATCTATAAAAACAGTTCCTTCTTGGATAACATTATATGGAAACAATTCATCCCATTTTTTAAATAGATCCTGGGCCCAGTGGACTGGACAACTCTGGGAGTGACAAGCCTAAATCATCCCACATTTGCTGGGGTCTCCCATGTTCCAGGGATGGGTCTGCCCATAGGGAGATGGCGTGGGAAGTCAGGGGAGGCGCCTCCATTCATGAAGGCCGGGAGAGAGGCAGGCTCTGTAGGAGGCCTCCAAGGCCTTCAAACCCAGCCCCTGCCTCTCCCTCCTGCCCTTTTTACGAGCACTGCCCCCTGCCCGCTCTTGTCCAGCTGCACTGATTGCCCTTAAACTCCTCTTATGGGCCATCCTTGCTTCCTATAGATGAGCCTTCCGAGGTTTTGCCCTCTCTCTGGAAAGCTCTTGCCCCAACCCCTGCACCTGGCCAACTCCCACTTATCATTCGGGCCACACATTTCTCTCTGCCTCTCAGATCTTCCCGGGATTGGCTCTCCTGTCACATTCTCTCCAGGCACCTTGCTGTGTTCTTCCCTGCAGAGCATCACAGTTCCCAACCACAGAGGGGCTCGTGGGGACCTTATTTTATACCTACCTCCCCCGTTGGACTCTGACTCCATGGGAGCAAGACTATACCTGCCCCATGTACTGGCTCCCCCCCCCATCAGAGCCTAGAGCCGTGAGAATTGCGTACGTAGGGGACGCTCAATGAACATGTATTGAGGAGACAAGAGGGGAAGCCCAGAGATGCAAGTAATGTGTGTATGACCTATATCTTTGGATAAAGTACTTTCTAATGTTTTATCACAGTTGCCAGCATGCTTTAGGACCCACGGGACACTGGGATTGGTGTCTAAAGTTCCAGCTCTTCCACAGAAGCTTAAAAACCTACTTTCTTCCTCTAACTTGTTATGGGCATAGGCACCCTGGTCCTGTGGAGCTCAGATAGGGGTCAGGAACCCCCCGAGCTAGTGAGGATCAGAGAGGAAAGGTGATCTCTCTAAGCTGGCTGGTCAGACCTCCTATTCTTCGTATTCACGTGCGCATGGGTGTGTGTTCGCGTCTGTGTGGAGGTACAGCCAGCAAGAAACAAGAGGCCCCATTAAAAACCACCTCTTCCATGAAACCATCCCCCTTTTCCCCAGCTGGAATAAATCTTTCCTGTCACCCTTCTCTCATGCATCTTATTTGTGAACAAATACCCAGAAGTGGCCTTGGGATCTGGTGGTAGAAAGTTCATGGGCTCAGGAGTCATACAGACATGGATCCCAATTCTGGCTGTGTGACCTCTGGGAGGTCACTTACCTTTTATGAGTCTTAGTGCCTTCATCTGTAAAAGGGGCACAGTGAGTTCAACTTCAAAGATTTAGGAGGAAGATTCATATAATGTTTTCTTTCTTTTTTTAATCTTTATTGATTTCAGAGAGAGGAAGGGAGAGGGAGAGAGAGAGAGAAACATCAGTGATGAGAGAGAGTCATCAATCGGCTGCCTCCTGCACGCCCCCGACTGGGGATTGAGCCCGCAACTCGGACATGTGCCCTGACCAGGAATCGATCCGTGACCTCCTGGATCCTAGGTCGATGATCACTGAGCCACACCAGCCGGGCCATGTAAAGTTATCGCTAACGCTCATTCCTTTCCCTGTGTCCCACACTAGATTCTGAATCTCCTGAGAGCCTCGGGGAGCCCCGCCCAGTGCCTGCTCACAGCAGAGCCCCCAAGCACCTGTTGGATTGTGCATGGAGGTGAGGGACAGGCCTCCACACTCTCCCGTCACCTGCGTATGACCTCAACGCGGCACAGGCCTGCACAGCATTTCCATGGCAGATGTGCCTCGTCCGTTTCCCTCTGATCAGCTGCGCTAACAGCAATCACGAGCAAGGAAAGCTGGGCTCAAACATCGCCCTCCCCCAGATTTTCCCTGGCCCCCTTTTAAGAACATGTATGAGTGTTTTGGATACATTAACACACAGCCACCAGCACACAGGAGCCCCTTAGTTCTGGGGAAATTAGCATTTAAATTGAGGTATTTCAGGGAAGTAAATCATCCTGGAGAAGCCAGCACTGTCTGCAGCCTTTCCTTAGTGGGAGGCAGGCTAGGAGCTTTGGCCTGTGAGCTGCTGCGTTTTCAGGGAGCGGTCTCCACCCTCCCTGGCTCCCTGTAGGCTGTCCAGAGCCACCTAAAAGGGTGGCATCAAACTCCCAACACCAATGCAGACATCTCCCTTGGTTTTCCGTGCCCCATCCCTCAACCCCCAACTAACCATGAGCCTTTCTGCCAGGAGAGGGAGGGGGAGACGAGCTGAGATGTGATTTCCTCTATTATCAAGCAGGTGGGAGACCTGTTTTGACAGTGGCTTTGTCACTGCCTGGCTGGGTGCTTTGGGAAAGCTACTCCCTGCCTCTAGAACTGGGAGGGGTGGGCAGCTGGGATGCAATATCGATTTCTCTGAAGCCCAGAGGGAAAGGCATTGGGCTAGCTTTTGTCCATTCGGTAGGCGCAGGAGTCTACGCTGTA